GAAGAAGAAACTCTTACTTACTGTAACTGTAGTTCTTTGAGTAGTTGCAGACATGTATTTCACTTAAGTGACTCACAAGCTGTACCCACAGGAGGTGGGGCTCAGAGTAAAGTATATTAGATAAGGATTACAGGACCACTTTCCCAAAGTTTGTATCTCTTTCCCATAATTCCTGCCACCAAGAGGTAAATCCAAAATTTTTAAAGCTGCTATATTACCTCCTTCAGGCAAGAAGCTACTTAACACTTTCTGCAAACAAATACTTTGCTTCCACAGATTCCCCTACTACAGCCACTTAACACGCTTATGTATGCAAAGCACCCTAAAATTTGGCATACAGGTCGGGGACACAATCTCATCTCTATTAATGTTTACTTTTGACATTATATAACTACTATTACAGTAATGCAAAGGGACAATTACTGTTTGACCTTTCAGGGAATGGATGCCTCTGGAAGAGAGCAAAAATAAACTATAGACTTAACTACTAATAAACTCACCCAACACACAGTTCAGGCAATATATGTTTGGGGCATGGGAGTTAGACCAAAAGGAACTATCCAATATACTTGAACACAATACCAATATAGTTAACATTTGAAATGTATAATTTAATATAATAAATATAATGCCATGCTCACTGTTAATCTCAAACTATGAAAATAGCCAAAAGGTTCAAATTTGGACCAAAAAAAGTCGAGGTTTTATACAAACCATCTTATAAGATCAAAGGAAATGTTTCCATAAACTTGTATTTCCACTGGACTTTTAAACAATTTGATTTTTGTGGGTTTTTTAAAAAAGTAAACAAACAAAATTCCCCTTTCATGTTTGCAGCCCAAACATTATGACCTAAAAGTGAAATTGACTAGAAATTAATTTGTCTACTTCCATTTATCAAAGCTTCAGGAAATGCAAAAAGTAAACATGACAAATAATTAAAAGTAAATTAGATGTATTTTCCTTCATTTTTAATGCTATAAATTAAATGTTATTAGTAACCTAAGTAAGTGAACTTTTAAAGAAATTTACATATGATTATTAAACTGACAGTGGTCTTTTAAAAATATAAGATATAACAAACTGCATTCAAAGCCCCTCAAGTCATCGCATCATTTCTCACACACTTCCCCCACTGGACAGACAGGAGCAGCAATTCAGGAGGGAGTTATAAAAACAACCAGTGTGTCCACTTACCTAACCTTGACGTAATCTGAAAGAAGCCACCTGTAAATAGCTTTTGTAGCATGAGTCATAAATGTTCTTCCTTTGAAACTGGTCTTCTGCAGAAACCATGGTAAAGCCCCACAGTGATCCAAATGGAAACTTAAAACGGACAAATGAATACAGTTAATACATTAATATCACATAATACAAATCACAGAACCATATAAATGTAGGTTTGGGAGGGACCTTGGGAGGTCATCAAGTCCAGCCCCCTACACTGAGGCAGGACCAAGTAAAGCTAGACCATCCCTGAGAGGTGTTTGTCTAACCTGATCTTAAAAGCCTCCAATGATGGGGATTCCACAACCTTCCTTGGAAGCCTGTTCCAGAACTTAACTACCCATACAGTTAGAATTTTTTTCCTAATATTTAACCTAACTCTCCCTTGATGCAGATTAAACTGGTTACTTTTTGTCCTACCTTCATAGGTATGGAGAACAATTGATCACACTTCTTGTTATAACAGCACTTAACATATTCGAAGACTATTATCAGATTCTCCACTCCCCCAGTCTTCTTTTCTCAAGACTAAAGATTTCCGGTTTTTTAAATCTTTCCTCATAGCTCAGGTTTGCTAAATCTTTTATCATTTTTGTTGCTCTCCTCTGGACTCTTTCCAGTTTGTCCACATCTTTCCTAAAGTGTGACGCCCAGAACTGGACACAGTGCTCTAGCTGAGGCCTCACCAGTGCCGAGTACAGCGGGACAATTACCTTCCATCTCTAACATGCAACACTCCTGTTAAATATACCCCCCCGAATAATATTAGTCTTTTTCACAATTGCATCACTCCTGTTAAATTTCTGATCTCCTGTAATCCTTGAGATCCTTTTCAGCAGTACTACTGTCTAGCCAGTTATTCCCAATTTGGAGTTTTGCATTTGATTTTTTTCTCCTAAGTGTAGTACTCTGCACTTTGTCTTTATTGAATTTCATCTTGTTGATTTCAGACCAATCCTCCATTTTGTCAAGGTCGTTTTCAATTCTAATCCTGCCCTCCAGAGACTGCGCGACCCTCCCAGTTTGGTGTCATCTGCAAATTTTATAAGCATACTCTCCATTGTCCAAGTCATGAAATATTGACTACCGGTAGTACTGGACTTAGGACTGACCCCTGCAGGACCCCATTAGATGCAACATCTCAGTTTGACAGCAAACCATTGATACCTCCTCTGAGTAGGATTTCAACCATCTTTTTTAAATGCCAAACCATTCACTAATTTACTACATTAATGCAATGTTACATAAATCAGGAAACACAGGAATTAGGGTTTCATCAGCAATGTTAACTGAGCTGCATTATGCATTCTGTATATTCTAAGATATTAAGATAGATACATTAAAATGCAATAGAGAAAAGTTAACTTTTGCATTTTAACATCTGCATTTCTTGATAAATTTTACCTATAGAACCTTACAATTACGTTTTTTTTTTGCATGTAAAGAAAAAGGACTGATAATGGGAGGGAAGAGAATGAACATCACACACAGAGAGAAAGGACGACAGAATAAAGCTAATAGCAGTGGCCCCAAAGCTGGCACATGGGCCACCACAGATTAGAGGTGAACCACTGAAATGTTTTTAGTAGTATACTAGATAACAATTTGGTCATTCCTACTAATGATGCTAATTTTAAAACAGTGGTTTTGAGATAAAGGTGCAACAAGTGCATTTTAATTACCGTACATAAAGTATCTGAGTGAATGCCTCTGTAACCCCTGTATCAGCATTTCTCAAACTCTGGTCTGTGGGGCACTGGTGGTCCATGGAGAGCTAACTGGTCACATAGGGCTGACTATCCTTGTTTCCAGGTGCTAAGTCATATTATCAGCCCAATCTAACACCCTTTTAAGTCAATGGGTATCTTCTCAACTCCTGATCCAACTCCCATTAAAGATAGCTAAAAATACAATAAATACTTCCCTAATATTTCTTTTACACAAACAATTGCTGAAGTTGACATAGTGATGTTATGTGATCACGAAAGGGAGGGGAGAGTGGCCACGAGGTCACAATGGGCATGGAGGAGAGCCATGACATTAAGTAGTAGTTTTGTAGCCTACAGGTATTTCCTGGGTGAGCCATAGGTATAAGTTAAGGCAACAAACCAATAAGCTTGCAAACCTCACGGCCTGTAAGACAATAATTTAGCTAAACTAATTAAGGCATAAGGCCCAAAAATCCTTAGCATAAGTAGCTAACCAAGAGTAACCCTAGATCATAAAATATCATAAGATGGAATGCTGTAATGACTAAACTGCTGATAGGTAATCACAGGATGCTAGTTTATACCACCCCGGAATATTTTTAGGTAGAGACATCAGCAGATGTCTGATCACAAGAATGCCATGGTAACTAATTGACATATATGCTAATAAGCTTGACGTAAAAGGATTAATAACCTATAGAGAAGGGCACCCCAATATTAGTAGGGAGAGGAACTACAAATAAGGAAAAGGGACTGAAACCCCTATAGAACATGCATTAAGCACAGTGATCTCAATATAACACATTATAAAAGCTGTATCCCAGCCCGTGTACCTGGGGAGATACCAGGATGACAACCACTGATGATGGTGAGGGGAACGATGAGGAAGATAACTAACACTTCAGGTTGTTTTGCAAGAGATGGTGTAAACCTATGGATGCTCAGCTCATTTTGTATTATCTCTACCTGCTTTGCTGGGTTGGGTGTTTGTGAAGTTGCTAACTGTATTAATAAAACTATTATAAATAAATGTGAGTGTTGTAACTGTATGTCAAGGCTCCCAACTGAATACTAATTCTGATAATACTGGGTCTGATCTTGGAACAAGAACCAGCCAAATTTCAGACTGCTAATTGGGGAAACTAAATCAGTAATATAATCAATATGCAATCAACAGATTAGGCAACAGTTCACGCTACACAAATATTGGGAACTACTGTCCTTTCATCACACCAATAGTGTCTGGATGACATCTGGCCCCAACCTTTCTTAAAAGTTGGAAGTCAACAAGGCTTAGAGCAAGAACTCAAAACAAGCATTAATTCTTGTTCTAAATGCAACTTACTGACTGATTAAGAGGAGATCAATCTCAGCAGGATCTATCAAGTCAATGTAAGGTAGGGCATCCATTCCTTCTAAGCCAGGGTGAATTCCACAATCAAGCTGAAAAGTGATGAAAAATAATTAAAATTCCTGCTAAAAACCTATAAAAATGAATAAACACATACAAATTTATGGCATCATTACAAGCGAGTGTCATGCGGGAAAAATTCATTTTGCTTATTCACAGTTTTTGACACATTGTGATATATTAGACTCCAAGCTAGACTCTAGGGCAGGGTTGGGCAAACTTTTTGGCCCAAGGACCACATCTGGATATGGAAATTGTATGGTGGGCCATGAATGCTCACAAAATAGGGGGTTGGGGTGCAGGAGGGGGTGGGGCCAGAAATGAGGAGTTCAGGGTGTGGAAGGGAGCTCCAGACTAAGGCAGGGGGTTGGGTGTGGGGAGGGAGTGGAGTGAGGGCTCCAAATGGGGGTGCGGGCTCTGGGGTGGAGCTGAGGATGCAGGGAGGTGTTCTGGGCTGGTATCGAGGGGCTCAGGGAGCAGGAAGGGGATCAGTGCTAGGGCAGGGGGTTGGGGTGCAGGAGGGGGTAAGGGGTGCAGGCTCTGGGCAGTGCTTACCTCAAGCAGCTCCCGGAAGCAGTGGCATGCCCCTCCTCCGGCTCCTAGGCGGAGGTGTAGCCAGCCAGTTCTGTGCGCTGCCCCGTCCTCAGGCGTCGCCCCTGCAGCTCCCATTGGCCAAGGTTCCTGGCCAATGGGAGCTGCAGGGGCGGCGCTTGGGACAGGGGAAGCATGCAGAGTCCCCTGGCTGCCCCTATGCGTAGGAGCCAGAGGTGGGACAGTCTGCTGCTTCCGGGAGCCGCGCAGAGCCACGGCACGCACAGAGCGGGGCAAGCCCCGGACCCTGCTCCCCGGCAGGCGCTCGAGGGCTGGATTAAAACGTCTGAAGGGCCGGATATGGCCCCCAGGCCATAGTTTGCCCACTCCTGCTCTAGGGTATCCGTGTAGGTGACTTATCTTCAGTGGAAAACTGAATGCCTTTTGAGAGCCTATTTTTCAGACCTGAGCCTTTGCATGTGCATTTTTGTACCTACACGAGCCTCTAGCCACACTTTTCCAATAGTAACAGTTGACAGCATAAGTGAACAGCCTTTCATGTGTGGATTCTATCACCTGAGTACACAGGCATTAATGCTGGAAAAACAAACAGAGCATCTGTGCATACACACACAACTGTGTGAACAAAGTAAAGGTTAGGCTCAGACACCACTGAAAACTAGATTGCGAGCATATCACCTACACTTATACATAAATAGATACCCGAATTTTCTCTCAGGATTTATACACATCTTTTATTACTAAATTAAAATCTCATATAATAGGTCACATCCTCTAGGTAACATTGCTCTTGGGAACCAGAGACTTTGCCTGTTTAGGGAAAGGCAGACATCGATACCAGACTTTTGTGAGGAACTTGGATTTAACACACAATAGCTTTTTACAACAGATCCTGGTAATTCAGGTGTTTACAAGTAATTACCATTATTTTTCTTCCTTTAAACTCCAGAATAATGCATGATCTTCCTACTTCTTGCCCAGCACCTCTGTGAAAGGAAATCCATGACAAAGTTAGCAAAAACAAAAAACACCCACCGTATCTAAACACAGTTAACTACATCTTTGTTTTAAGTGCATTTAGATGCCTATGTGCAGAACTCATCATTCTACTGTTTAACAATCCGACTGTAGAATGAAAAGGCCAATCACTATTTAAACTAACTGAACAGTGACATTTCATTCAATGAAACTGAGATCCGGTCCATGACTAAAGCACAGAAGACCTAAATTTGGGAAAGGACTGGTATCTTTTCTCTAGGATGGCAAATGAATGCTTGTTGCCAACCTGGGCTAAAGCAATCTAAATGCTTACAGCAAACTTACCCCCGAAATATTTTGGTAACTTGAGGGTGCTTTCTATTTATAATAGAACAACTGTATCCTAGGCTGAATGAATTTAAGGTATCAGAGACTATTAGCCCAGCACAGAATTATTCCAGAGTTAACAGGAAATGCCCTCAAGTTATTATACTGATTTATTTTATTAGACACAAAATTTTCAGCGAAAGGAGAAAAAACACAAAAAGCAAAACCAATTATCAAACTACTGAAAGGTACACTGTTTTAAAATAATTAAGCTCTTTTTGCTTTTCCTTTCACCATCTCTTTTCCCCACTGCCATTCAGTTTCTTCCCTACAGATAAGTAAGGTGCTTGTCCTCAGTAATTGCAATAGGTTTTTATGTTAGGGAAGGAAAGATGGGATTCCCCAAATGTAAAAAAGCCAATGAACACTCATATACATGGCCATTATTATAGAAACAGGTGTCTCAGGGATCTGTACAAAAGAAAGGGGGTAAAAATCAGAGGAAGGAGGAAAATGAATAAGGGATTTAAACTATGTTTTAAAGCACTTTCCCTTTCAGTGGAGTGTCAGCCCTCATCTCCTTGCTTTTGGTGTGCTGTTCTTACCCACACACACCCTTTAGATTCACATGTACAGGGAGATTTTCTGTTTCTGTCAGAAAAGTGAAGAACAGAAGTGGTATATTTGTTGATAACAAGCAACTTGAAAATTCTGAATAGGAAGCCAACCCAAAAACAGGGATTACAATAGCCCAAGTAGATTCACATGTTTTGCATATTCACAGCAAGGAAAATAAGAAAGAACTTGTGCAATTATGCAAATACCAGTACTCTGATTGGCTAATGGTTGTCAGTCAAAGATTTTCATACTGTATGGGGGAGAAATAACCATTCCGACATTGTACAAACCTCACACCCAAGACAAAATCTTGGGCTTAATATAGAGGTATCTGGCTAAAAATTAGTGGTCTGTGCTATCCAGGCCATACTAGATGATCTCCTCTGCCCTTAAACTCTATGAAACAACATAGTATAGGGAACTGCATAATTTTGGGGGGGAATTAAACATTAAGTATCCACAGTTATGCAGCCTCCCTGCATTCTGATGGGCTGAGACATTCCATTTCAGTACTGTATAATGTAATCTGTACTAATATATCAGCCCTTGACACAGGCTTACTCTAGTAAAGAACAATTTAAAATTTTGAAATGTTTGATATTGTGGCAATAGGTGCCTTTGAAAATTCCAAGATAAAGGGCTCTCTGTGTTAGTAATACTTCCCCTTTTCCCACACAGCTATGATTTTACTTCCCTAAAGATGTGCAATGCTTTCAACTGTAAGAAAAAAGGACTGGGTTGAGAACATTTGTTTTGAAAGCTAACTCATCTCCAAGATATTTTTTTCACCACACTGGCAAACACACACCCTTTAATAATTCATATACTTTGTTCTGATAAATGAGTACAGATAGTTTGGGTCATTTAGCAGTGACATAACTTATCTACTCTCAAGTTCATCTTTGCAATTTGGTGGCATAGGTCAAGCCTCCAGAGCATAAAAATTGATAGATGCCAAGTAAGAAGAGAGATAATATCCTGCACTTCACAAAGAAAGACACGTAACATAGCCAAGGACGCCTTACGTTTTGCTGAAAAAAACACAAGTAAGAAGAGAGAAACTGATAAAGAAAGATCAAGCTT